TAGGGAAAAGGGTCGTGATCGTTGATACTGATACTCGGCTTGATGGTAAAACCGAGAACACAATGTTGAATGAATGTCCGTTGGATTTTACAACACTGCCCGGGCGGACTGGAGGTCACTTAAACCACTATATTTATGGTACAGTCTATCAACTCTGGTGCATCATGCTCTGCTGACATCGATGGGTTAGCTATGATTCACGGCTACGACTACCGACTAGTCCGTGCAGCCGACTATCCCGATCGGCACGGAACTTGGGTAAAGCCTGCCATCACCAAAGAGGCTCTCAAGACCCATGACTTCGTCATCTCGCTAGACTCAGACGCCGTCTTCACACATCTCGACCTTCCACTAGAATGGCTCATGAACCTCTGGGATTACCGCCCTGAGACCTTAGTCGCAATGGCTTACGACCTCGACTGGGAACAAGACTACGATCCCCAAGGAAACCTCATCCTCAACACAGGCTTCGTCATCGCGCAAGCAAGTCAGCGTACCCAAGACATGTTTCAACGATGGGAAGATTGCCCACGGAGCATACCTGGCTGCGACCATTGGAATCACAAGTGGGCGCATGAGCAGAGCGCCTTTTCTTACTATATTCGATACGAGTTTAACAGAACACATGATGTGAAAAACATACCGTGCAATCAGGCCAACGGCAATGAGTTTACGTTGGACGGAAATGGTGAATGCAAGGGCGTTTTTGTGAGCCATAATTGGAAGCATAAACATAAGACGCCTGAGTTGTTGAGCAGGAGTATAATGACTTCGCTGGCCCGTCGGGTACATGGGCAGTTCCACCATGATATTAAAGACTTGTACATAGATGCCTCAAAGCAGACATATCCAATCGCTGATGGGGCAACCTGAGCAATGATTGGAGGAAGGTAAACAATTATAATTAGACTATAGAATGCATGTGTATTTCTAAAGATGATAATTCCCGATAAAACCCATCTGCTTTCTTTATTACCAAGTACCAATGCTACAAAGACTGGAAATCAAGACGCTATCTTATCTTATCTTATCTTATCTTACCTCCAAAGGCCCACGAATAATACCACTATTTGACTTGACTACCCTAAGGCACTCGCAAGCAACGTTGGTTTCGGACGTTATCAATAGAATCTTATTGCTCCAATTGCGACCATTGGATTGTTACAATCATCATCATTTTCTCCCGTGAACTGTGCCAAGAATTGTAGTCACAAGGTGCCGTCTCAAGGAGTCCGTGCTGTCTAACCGGATTTGGCATGTAGAGCCTATCGACCCGAATAGAGAGTGATGCAGTGCTACACTAACTATGCACAATCACATTGTGTAAAGAAGGTAACCCGAAATAGAGAAAAGGTTGAGTTGTGGCGCATGCCACGTAGTGATGTATGGAAGTCAAGAGTCAGATGTATTGTTTCGTTCACGTACACCAGGGAAATAGGCAGGTCTACGAGTAAATTTTGTACCTCAGTCCTACTCTTGGAGATGAAATACTTGGTTAAAAGGCTTCAGCTCAGCTCTAAGTTCTACATGGTGATATAAGTCCTCAGCCACAGATCTCAACTACAAATAGGACATATAGATCATCCTATGTTTTTCTCCACCATACGCACGCCAAATACTAGACGAATAAAATCCAAGTCCATCAACAATGTCTTCATTCGACGGCAAGACGGTATGTATATAAAAAACTCTCTCTATTTGAAATCGAGCATCTAACCTGAATCGTGAAGATCGCGGTCACTGGCGCAGCATCTGGTATCGGCCTTGCAGTTGCTAAGCTCCTAGCAAGTCGACGTGCCCAACTCTCGCTCGCCGACATGAACAAAGCCGGCCTTGAGGCTGCTGTCTACAACGTTGATGGAGGTTGGGTCTGTTAGTCGGAGGTTACCCCGAGTACTTCGGCATAGGTCGGCATGTAGCCGATAAGGATGGGGAAACCCCACTTCATGGTAGCATCAGATTGTACTAGTCAGACCAACAGTCTCTAAAACTTTCCAGATTTGGTAAAAATGGTGAGTGGGGGTGCATTCGGTTGTATTTCATGATCAGGCGGACATTACAAGATAGTACTTATCTACCGGATTCCAACGGACCAGCCCCTCAAGCAATTCAAATTCTTGTTCCCTTTCCAAGTTCAAATATTAGAATATCGACTATCTCCGCCTCCGAGAAAAAATGACCGTGAAAAGCCGACTCCAGCAACCTGTACGGGTCGCCATTTTGGACTGCGACTACGTTGTACCAAAGGTCGCCGAAACTTGGGGACCGACATATAGCAGTATCTTTGGTCATCGGCTACAAGCTGTCAATAAGACTCTGGGGTCTGATAAGGTTCTGCAGATTTCTGCATTCGACATTATCAAAAACGAATATCCCGATCCAAATCACTTCGATGCCTTCCTGATCACAGGTTCTGTGAAAGGGGTATACGACGAGGATCTGTGGATTGCGAGGTTGAAAGCTTTCATCCAAAGAACCTACCAGACTCATCAACATGTTCGGATGTTTGGAGCTTGCTTCGGGCACCAGATCATCTCCGAAGCCCTGCTTGAGAAATACGGAGTGATTGTCGAGAAAGATCCAAAGGGTTACGAAGTCGGCATCCACAAAGTTGTTCTAAACCCGAAATTCGCAGCTCATTTCGATCACGTTCTAAGCCTGCCTGAGGGAGACGGGTTACGGGTGCAGTTCGCTCACGGCGACCATGTTCGATTTGAAGCATCATGGCCTGAGTCGTGGATGTCGATAGGAAGCACGCCACATTGCGCCGTGCAGGGAATCTTTCAACCAGGACGTGTCTTGACGTTTCAAGGTCATTTTGAATTTAACGAGGAGATTTCAACGGAAACGATCACGTACTTCTATACACCTGAACGAGGCTTCACGCCTGAACAGACGCAAGCTGCCTTGGATCAGATTCGAGGAACGGATGATTCGGAGGAAGCTGCAAAGATACTACATGCATTTTTTACAGATAGTAATGATACATAGAAGATCTGCTATGAGAATCATATCGCAGCTCACGTCAAAGTTATCGACGCAGCCTTATCTGAATTAAGCTTTAGAATTGGGTGGCTTAGCGTCATGCGCCCCAGGATGAGGCGCAAGGAATTCCAAGGCGGAGTGAAAGGCTAACGATTAATTTCCCTCTTTATACCTCATGCTTCGTCTTCTAATTTTCGGTGGCTCATCTATCAAACTCTCCTTTCATCTCGAGATGCAACGGTTTCTCGATGCCGCTGTTTAAAAACTTTCGCAGCGGCGCAAAGGTCGTGGACAACGCGGTCAATCTGGACCCGCACACCTGGACATTGCCATCGTCATACAAGCCCTCCCAGGCAGACGGTAAACAAACAGTCATTCCTGACCCAAGAGTCTTCTCAAACGTGTTTTCAATTCCCTGCGAAACGGAATCGCAAAGTATTGAGACTCTATTGGCATACCCCGATGCGAGTCATGCAGCTGTACATCTCGCTCTGCTTGAGTGTTTTCGCAACCTGAAGGCTAGCGCGGGCGCTCTCAACATTGAGGTCATCCAACCACCTGCATACGATGACACCAAGAGTCCAGTGCCGGCATCGCCATCGGAGCCAACGCAGCTTCCCGCATCCCAAAAATGGGACCTTCTCATAAAACTCGCAGTTACACGATTTACGACTTGGTGGTCTGGTATTGAGCTATTGCTGAACCATGCGAGTGCCTACTCGCATCATGGCGGCACCCGTGCTGCTCTCCAGCTCACAAAGGACTATCTGCCACCATTGGACATACTGCTCGTATGGTACGCACTTATACTGAACCCGGAGGCTTATGAGGCTGCTTGCAACGCCCAGGGTGCCAATGCTGCGCGCTTGAAAAACATTTGTTTCCCCTGGCCTGCAATTCGAGATGTCATCGATATGGACAAGATGCAACTTGTACTTCCTCGATCTGCCCAGAAGCTGTTCACCAATATCACGTCTCAACCATGTGATATTCTTGAGTATTTACAGACCCCCCCGGCATACGCAGACGCGGGCAAAGTGCGTATCGAAACAGATTTATTCAGTGAAGTCAAGAGGCAGGAGAATATCATCGAGGAGTCTAATAAGCTTCTATGGATACGCTCACCTGCCTTGCAAGGGTCCCTGATTCGAGCGGGCTTGGAGTATCTGGACTTTCACTTAAGGGAGCCCAATGCAGTTGAAGAAGAGATGGTTTGTCACCAGTCCTTCGGAGTCAGGCTTTTTTGGAGGACGCACCGCCTCTTTCCCAGACAGTACAATGCTTTCCTGAAAGAAATTGGAGGCGTTCAGTCAGAGCAAACGCAGGGGCAGGACCTGAAACGAGATGCGAAGATTTTGTTCGATATGGACGACCCATCTCCCATACAGGAGCACTGCCACTGCTGGACCTGCGAGCGCATTCGCGACGATCTCCCGGAATTCGTCTACACAAAACCGTCAACAGCGGCATCCTCCTCTACGAGCTTGACTACCATGCAGAAACAAATTTCTTCGTTATCTGCCGAAACTCTACTGCAAATCCAGGATGACCTTGGCTTCTGTCTTGCAGTGGAGGACGCTCGCAGATCTGGGCTGTCATTGCCAACTCGGCCACCAACTACTGCAGAGAAGGAAGCAGATAAGATAGCTAAACAGAAGCAAAAGGAGCTTGGATATAGGCCAGGGCTGAATGAGTATGTGGAAGTGTTACCTGATGGGAGACGCAAGATCAGGACGCATAAGTATGCGAGTGGAATGTGGGGTACGACTTGGGTTTGATCTTTGCTAGCAGATATTTGTCTCATTTGTATCGAAGAGGAGCAAAGGGTTGCGATCTCATTGTATAAGGCGACTATTTGTGTGAGAGGCGATGCTCTACTGTTTATAGTGGCTTGTCTCTAGAAGTTTAGCAGAGGTTATGTATTTTCAGTTATCGCCTCCTGCAACGTTGAGCCTAAACCGCTGCCTCATCTCCCCCAACCAAGCATCTATTGACTGCCCATAGTCTGAACAAGACTAGCTGCTTCCACTAGGAACAAGATCTCGAGCCAGTCTAGCAACGATGCCAAGTGCATCCATCTTGTCACTCATCGGCTCCTTGAGCTCCTTCGCCGGACGATCGAACCGTCGCCAAACCTCAATGAACCGCTGCTGGCCCTCATCCAACCCAATACCACGAAGCACATTATACATATCATCGTGATTCGAAAGTCGCTCCAGGTCTTCAGCGCTAACAGCCGTAGTAGACGGATGTTCCTTACCGTGAACAATGGCAAGGTTGACGCAGTGAAGAATGAGTGCTGCTAGACCAGCCGCCAACGCCGTAGCCACGGATGAACCGGTGCGTTCCTCAAAGTCGTCTGGCAACGCACCCTCACGGTGTGGATTTCGCGATACTACCTTGTGACCTGGTATAACGAAGCTTAAGTGCTGGGGGCTGCCTGTTGGGCCCCATACGCGACCGTCTGCGGTGGCAGCGCCGATGCGGAAGATGCGCTGGCGGTCGAAAGACCATGGGTACTCAACTTCGGTGATGGCGCCAGTGTCTGCGGCGGCGCAGAAGAGGAGAATTCCTGCGTCGAGTGCGTCCTTGATGGCTTGGCGGAAAGTGTTGACACCATCACGATTCTCGACTGTTTCTTTGACTGTCCAGGACATTGAGATGATGTCCACCTTCTGGTCTATCGCTGCTCTCACAGCCTGTACCGTGTTAGTCGAGATACAAGAACCCATAGTCACAAAGTGATACTCACCAGCGCTGCGCTTTCTGCAGCAATGTACTCCTTGCCATGAGTCTGTGTCGCCAAGTTGAGACTCGTCTGCGTCTCAAGTTTGTACACATACAGCCTCGCCATCGGACATACCCGGCAAATCATATCCGCCATCACAGTCCCGTGGCCTTTCGTAGACCTATAGTAAGGGCTGGGTCCGTTCTCGTGAGGAAAGCCTCTGCTGAACGTCTCTCCACCCCAGATCTTACCCCGTAGAGACTCGACGTAGGGATCAGCGCCATCGTCAATAAGGGCGACCTTGATACCATTTTGAGGCTTGACAAACTCGGAACAAGTATTTTGGAGTTCGTCGGCAAATTTGTCCATACAGTTCAGCCATCTGTTTGACTGTAGACTCATCTCATTGATGCCGCTTTGAGCCTTTGCGAATGCTCCCTCTCGGACAATTCGTTCACTGCCGGGAACATCTGCTTTGCACCTGAAGACGAGTATACGTCTTCCTTCCCCAGCCTCGCCTTCGTCATTTGAAGGCAGTCTGTTCGGGTTTGAGGCTGCTGAGTCGTTTAACCGCTCCTCGAAGTCATTCGCGTACATTGTGATGCGATCGGCCGACTCTAATGCCTATGGAACGTCGAATGTTAGTACAGCAATGACGGAAAATCTCAGAAACATACCTGCTCCTCACTGTATACCAAATGTACCGCCTCCAGCCTTTCTAGCTTCGCCAGTCCATCAGGCTCGCTCCAAGCCCTCAAAACCGCTCTGTTACCACTCCATCGGAGATAAAGCTGCCTAACATTCCGACAAGCAGTTAAGATAGTCTCCGGACACAAGTCGACTTTCGTCCAGTCGAGAATCTCCACCTCGAAAGGCCGTAGACAATCCTCGAGTGCCTTGTCGCTATGCGATGGGTCTTTCAAGTCATCCACCATAACCTTGAGGACATGCTTGACTCCCTTCCCCTTGAGCCAGTTGAAGAAAACTGTCAGATCATCCCTACCACGTCCTTTATTCGACGCCTGAGCTCGGTTCCTTGTTAGTCTTGCTTTTATAGCTGATACTGGGGGTTTCTGCAGCTCGATTCTTCGGAATGAAACGTAGCGCAGGACTTGGTCGAAGTTGATGTGGTCATAACTTTGTTTGAAGGAATCCTCGTAGATCTCTGGTGGTGCCTCAGAGTAGTCGAAACACAAGTTGATGTCTGAAACCAATGGTTAGCATCTGCCAAAAGTGTTACGAATTCTGTCTCACTGTTTAGATTCGCTCCATGTAGAAACTTGACAGCTTTGAGCTGATCCCTACTAGCAGGCCTCGAATTGATCGTCAGAGTAGTTCGGAGATAGTGTAGCTTGACCGCCTGGCGGATCTTCTCTGCGTATTCGCTCTTCCGTTTCTCTTCTTGGGCCTGCTTTTCACCGTTTTCTACACCCGTTTGTCGTCTCTGTATAGGCTTGAAGCCATCAGGTGCTTCAATAGGTGAGTTTTTGTTCACGGCTGTATGGCGTGCACTTTCAGTAGAAGTGCGGCTTGAAGAAAGTACTTCGGCCTCCTCTGATCTTGGTGCATGAGGGTTATCAGGCGCTCGATGTAGCCCTCCGTGGGTGTCTTTGCCTTGTTGAGAGATGCGGTTTCTCCCGCCAGCATGCTCCAGCCCTCCTTTGGGCTTTGATCCGGCATGTTCGCTCTCATGTCCCTGTGGCTCATCCCTTGATCCGTCGGGTTTTCTTTCCCCAGCACGAGCGGAAACAGGCACTTCGAATTGTTTCCGCCAGAGGCGCTGTGTGTGATCTTGGTACTCATAGATGGATAGGTTTTGAGGTTCCTTGGTATACTCATCCAAGGCACTATCCCCATGAGCAAGGAGTGCCTCGACAATCTTTAGCTGCCCTTCTGATGCATACTTGTAATCGACAGCCAAGTGAAGAGGGGTCAGGCCGCTTTGGTCTTGTGCTCGTAGTGTCTCTTCGGATGCTCGTTTGACCAGTTTTATAGTATACTAGGGTTGGAGGTTGTGATATATAGCTGTATAGATGCAGTTCCTCCTATGCTCGCAAGTAATGCGGAGCAGTGAGTCAAGGTCATCAATCGCCTTCTTCTCATCCAAGACCACTTCGATGAATGCATGGTTCTTTTTGGCGATGGCGATATGCAGAGGAGTCTTGCTTGAGTCGTCCACTCGGTATAGCAAGGTCTTGTCGAACTTGATAACGCAGCGAGTCAACGATTTGTGTCCCACTGTGTTGGCGATCATGTGGAGGAGTGTCTGGTTTGAGTCTTTTGTCGATTTTGAGAGGAATTGCCCATACTTTTGTAAGAAGCTCTCTCGATTTTCTCTCTTGCCCAAGTTCAGCTTCATATTCCGAGCCTCATTCGTGATGCTCTCAAAGGCGAAAAGAACCTCATCGTGGTTGGTTATCTTGGCGGGCTCCTCCTCAAAATCATCGTTCTCGTAGTCCTCATCGTCGTCATCGCTAACGACGCCTTTGACGTCTGTTGTGAATGCAACCTTTGTCATCGTTCTTTGTATCAGATCTTTTTAAGTTTGTATTTTTCTCAGCTGTTATTTTGCATTTCAATGATGCTCTGGTTGCTTATTTGCTTCTCTGCTTACCGGCTGCAGCCTGCACCTACAGGAGACACGTCATTTATTAGCCGCTCAGCAGAGTCAAAGATATGAACAGGGGGCAAAGAACCCCATTTCTGAGGGCATGTACCTCACAGGTATCACATCAGGCTGTCACAAAAGCCCCTCTACTTCTTGACCACAAACCTCCTCTACAATTTACTCGAAACCTACCTTTTACTGCTGTCTACGCTCACGAAATGAGTCTTGATCCTGACTACGATGTGGATGCCGAGGAAGACATCTCCTTCGGCATTTCACTTGCGCCTAAAGGCGAGGAGGGGAATGAATTCCGCACGCAGAATGATCCGTTAGATCCTTATCAGCGCGAGAACATCATTGAACGCAAAGGCGCTGTCGACATTCGCTGCTCTAGCATCGACATTGTTCACGGCTTGTTTGACCCCGAAGGCGATGCTTTATGCACTCTACTGGTACTCGAATTTCGATTTGACCCAAGAAAACGAGCGCGGCGTATCGCACATGTCGATATTGAGCTGAGGTTCTCTGCCAGTGAGAAAGGCGTAGCTGACCCTCACGTTTTTGCCATCGCGCCCAACGGCAACTTGAGATTTGCTCAGACGACACAGACAGAGACAACTACTACTGGAGGCGACGTGACCATCGGCGCAGGCGCAGCTGGAGTGGAATTGGGAAGTGGTCTGAAGTATGAGCGTGAAGTCGCAAGAGAGATGACCTCGCTGCAGCCGTGACAGGATCAATCGACCTCCGCGGACGAAACTATGGCAAGCCAAACTGTGCGTCTTGGACACTGTTGGAGAACCCTGAGACAAAAACTGGTGTACCTGTCTCTATGCGAACCGCCATTCTGCTCAAGCGGAGGGACGAGGGACGTTTCCAGTGCGTGGTGACTGTCAACGCCAAAGCCGACTGGAGAACGTCGATGGAATGGCTTGTCGGCACCACGAAACGTGATGATCCCGTACTACTTGACCCGACGCTGGCTCCGACGAGTGATAGGTACAAAGATATGGAGATGAAGCTTGGGGAATTGGATCTAAACGCTATCTGTGATATCACCTCGGCCAACGTGATCGAGAACTCTGTCAAGACAAAGAAGATCGGTAGTCAGAGCTCCTGAAGCAACCTCAATAGCATAACCACCGGGTTACTCAGACTTTTTTCCAAAGTGTACATCTCAGGTACCAACTCAAACACGCACTGGCAACTTTTTGCGAACATCCTTGGCGGAGCTTTGACCTGTTCCATACTCAAAAGCGGGTACCAGCTTAATAGCTTAATCCTGCTCGAAAATCTGTGGTGGAAGATCCCATGATTTGTTCATACATCGGAAGGATAACTCCATCTAGGACCCCAGCCTCCACACCGACAAGGATTATCCAGCCTCCCAAAGCTCTCTATGCTTATCTATAGGTCGATTACCGGGAGCTATTGCCAATTGTCGTTCAGCTCATGCAGGTCGTAAGCAGCCTTCGGGGACCAAAACTTAGGGCGTATATCATAGGTGACAGAAATACTGAGTCAAGCTCCGTGAGATTTGGCGAGTTTTGGATGATTTATTTCTATCACCTAGGTTGAAACCCCCTCCATTTCTCGGTCTCCCGAAGGTATCACAAAATTCGATACGAGGGGTCAACGATTATAGGCTCACGTAAGATCCACGGCTGATCAGTCCATTTTGCCGTGACTGAGTCAGCCTTCTGCACTATTGCTCCTCACGATGACTAGAGAGGGCTATCAACTTCAAGCCACTATCCCATGGTTCTATGTAGAGTCATAGACTCACGCTCATATCGCTATGGAGGAGCCAGAAAAGTCGCTCGATGTCACCGAGACGTCAAGCGTTACCATGGATAACGATTCTCCATCCGCCGACTTGGGTCTCTCGATCGATACATCCGAAGAATATGAGAAAAGCGAAAGGAGATTTGAGTAAGATAAGCTTACCTCCTTTCAAAAACCATACTTCTAACAAAGCTTGCTATAGCATTGTAGCAATCCATGGCCTCGGCGGTCAGGAAGGCCAGTGGTGCTCAAGCAAGACCAACACCTGGATCCAGGGCTTGGCCTCCCACATGAAATGGGAAGTCCGTATTATTCGATATGCCTATGACACCACAAAATTAACAAAAGGCTACGTATCCTGAGGAGGCTATTTCCTCCGAGGCCTCTAAGCTCCTTCAAAAGCTAGTTGAGATGAGGAGCGACCAAAAACCAGTGAGAATTGCCATACATTCGAATTTCGAGTTGCAACTAACCAAAGATTTCAGCCGTTACCAATAGCGTTCTTTGGCCACGATATGGGAGGAATTATAGCCAAAAAGGTTAGTTGGATTGAGTCCATTTCGTTGTGTTCATGCTAATATAATATCAGGCTCTGATTCTAGCAAGTCGATATGACAGCGAACATGCTGATATTAGTTACTCAACGAAACTTTTGGTATGAAATATAAAGAATCAGGTTTCTGTGAGCTATCATTAACCTCTTGCAGATGTTCTTCGGCTGTCCACACAGAACTCTGGATACACATCAAGACATCGAGATTCTTGCAACCAGGCTTGACATGTTGAAACCAGCAGACTCAACAGCAACTAGCCTGAACATGAAAAGTCTAGCACGGTCAATCATTGACGTGAATAATTCTTTCTTAAACACCAGAGTCCTAACACGCGCTAACGTTATCAATATCATTTCATCAAAGACAGATCCTGTTGAAAAGGTGAGTTGAAAAGTAGGTTTTATGTTGCAATGATGATACTGACTCACTTACAGGTCTTTGACACATACACCGCGACACTTGGAGTTCCCATGGAGAAGATTTCACTCATCGACAAGTCTCATAAAGAGTTGGTCGATGAAACTGAAGCGTATGCTCCGTACGGAGGCTTTCAGACCCAGAGAATTTCATCCTGTAAGTCAACACACAGTCAAACATCGACCGGAGAAAACCTTCTGATTATTCTTCTAGTTCCTTGGGAGGATGATAAGTTATCCCATGCTATGATAGTCATAATGCACCAAGCACCTTCGTTTTACCCCTTCAAGTTCAACACAACCCGTGGATTCGACTGGATTGATGAGCACGATACCATGACTAAATGGCTGAAGTCTTGGGGTCTCGCTCTTCTGCATATTCATGGCACCTCCCACATTTCCAACGTGGCTCAGCATGTGTTAGAAGGGATAATTGGAAAGACCTCGTACTTCAGATGCATTCTCTACTTCAAATTCGACAAACACGATATCCGCAGGAATTCCATCGGAGCCATGGCAAACTCCTTCTTGCTCCAGATTCTCAGCCAGATAAGAGAATCTCCTAACGATAAGATGCCCGACATAGAACCGCCAGATTTCTCAGACTGTTGGACCGATAAGGATGCCTTCTACTTTTTGGAGAAGCTTATGGGGGACATAACAACCCACGGCGAAATTCACTGGATCATCGATCGGCTCGATCAGTGTGACGACAGCAGTGCTTTGTTCTTTTCCATGGTCTCTTACATGGCCAAGAATTCTGAGCAGCATTTCAAGATTCTGGTGACGACCGTTGATGACAGTCGGATCTGCGAGGCTCTATCAGAGTTTCCTACGATTAACTTGAGAGACCACCCGCTGAAAGCTGAAGTTATGGAGAGCATTGTGCTCGAATTCATGACTGAACTGTGCAACGCGCGACCACAATATCGCCACGTTGAGCAAGAAATACGACAATTACTGGAGTCCTGCAGTGACGATGACTTGCTACGCCGCTTCCTTCTAGAATGGCTCCTCGTTGCCCCTTGTGCATCTACGAAGTCAGCTCTAGAGCGGGGGCTCGCATCACTTGCACCTCTTTCACCAGCCAAGATATTCGAACGATGCTTGGATGCGATACCTGAAAGTTCCCGGCCGTGGGCTCGGAAAGTATTGATGTGGATGTCGTTCTCCTTTCGACCATTGACTCCTGGAGAGCTGGGGAGTGCACTCAGCATCGGCGCCTCAACGGACCCAGTCCCTGAGCAGGAGGCATATGGAGATCTCATGTGGGATATTGAAAACTGCCTTGGGCCCATGATAATCCTAGAGAATGGTCAAGTTCAATTTCGCCATCCAGCCGCTCGGGATTTTTTGACGACTACACATGACGCTTCCGCCACAAACCGGCCTTGGTACGCTTGGAACTCTTCAGAAGACGGCCATCAAGAGATCGCAGATGCTTGTGCTGGACATCTCACCTTACCTTCTACCCAAGACAAGATCCTAGCAGCTTGCCGAACATGTCCTGTTGATCAACAAATATTTGAGTACCCATCAGATATCACATCGTATGCTGTCGAATTCTGGATACTGCACTACCAACTAGGGTATTTAGAAGTATCCCCAAAACCACAAACTTCCATCATCGCAAACTTCTTCAACGATGGTGCGGCACTCAAGCGTTGGGATGCAGCCAGATGGTTCCTTTCAAATCCCCATACCAGATCGGACCGACTATTCCTCTCACACGCGCCAGTAATTGCATCTATAGGCGACGAAAGCTGGATCAGAACCTGGGTTCAGTCTCAAGAACCTGACGAACGCGATATTCCCCAGGCACTTATCGAGGCATCGAGATACGGACATAGCCATATTGTCAAGTTACTCCTCCAGAAGTCAAGCACCAGTGCAGTTGTCTGCCTCGAAGCTATCATGGTCGCAGCACGATCGGCAAAGCTGGGAACACTGGACATCCTTCTATTATATGCCAAAGAAAATCTCCATGTAACTCAGTGGCCCAGCATGCTTATCTCGAGACTTGCCTACCTCGGTTCAACCGAGCACTTAAAGACCATATTACAAGCTGGAGCGGACGCTAAGTCGACACATCCGAATTGTTCGCCACCTCTTCACTGTGCCATCGTCAGAGATGATACTGCAGCTTTCGACACCCTCATAGAGTACGGAGCTGACCCTGCTGCCGTCAACCCCAACTGGGTAGACACGCCGCCCATAGTGGTAGCTGCCAAGTATGGCCGAGCGAAGGTCATCCACAGGCTAGCCAAAACAGCATTCGTCGAAGCACAGGATAAGAAGGGCAGGAATTCTCTATGGTATACTGGGGGTAGAGGACATCACGTAGCGTTTCAAGCACTCGTCAAAGCTGGAGCGAACACAGAAGTCCTCACTGCCAACGTGAGGGAACTTCGGCCTGCCCTGATTCCCATCTCAGGGGCCCCCTACCCAAAATGCCTCAAGTCAGTACTTGAAGCTGGCCTGGATATCAATTCAAAGTTGAGAGAGGTTCACTCATTCCACGCATTGGGCATAGCGGCACGATCGGGCGACGTTGAGATTTGTCGTATGCTGCTTGACCACGGCACGTGCAAAGAGTTCGATGACGATTCTGCTCTTATCCATGCTGTAAGAGCGGATAATGTTGAGATTGTGAACATGCTACTCAAAGAGGGTCACAAGGTCGATGTGCAGCTAGACGACTCTCCTTATCACGGTACGCCTCTCGTGGCCGCTGCCAGGGCAGGCTATCAAGACATAGTCACAGCCCTCCTGGAGAACGGAGCCGACGTCAACTACGCTGCTCCCAATGAGATTACGCCTCTGATGTCTGCCGTCCTGGGAAACGAAGCGACAATAGCCAAGACTTTCATTGATGCCGGGGCGGATATAAATGCCGTCAGCGGCGCCAACAACAAATGGAACGCAACTCACTTTGCTTACAATCTGCCCGAATGTATGAAGGTTCTTGTCGAAGCTGGAGCTGATATAAATGCGCTCTCTGCTGATGGCACGCCATTCTACCTCGCTGCGTGTTTCAACCAGGTAAAGGTGGTCGAGCTGCTTCTTGAACACAAACCAGATCTTGAAACCAGATGCCCAGAGGGTGATTTTACTGATGCGGGTTACACGCCACTCCATTGTGCAGCATCCTGCGGTTACAATGAGCTCCTAAGGCTGTTACTGGAAAATGGTGCTGATATCGAGGCGAAAACTCCAAAAGGCGGAACACCTCTGATCCTAGCTGTGGCCACCAAGCATGAAGAGACTGTCAAGATCCTACTGGAGTACAATTTGGACGTTGACGCTATAGACATATGGGGAGGTTCTGCTCTCTTCTGTCTTCCTAAACCCGCAAATTTATCTGT